CAAAATTAGCACAAAATGGGGAGGATGTGGCACCAAATGGATGCACTGTCATCCTATATTCTGACACCTTACCACAAGGACCGTCATCAAACCACAAAAACCTCAAGTGATCTCTGTCACTCTCTGGCACCTTCACCTGTAGGAACATTTCCTCAATATCCGCCGCGACAGCAACTGTAAACTTTCTGAATCTCAATAGCAGTCCCACTAATGAGCTCACGCAATCTGGGCCACTATACAGATTATCATTTAAAGAGACTCCTTCATGTTTCGCAGAACAATCAAACACCACACGGAGTTTACCTGGCTTCCTCGGGTTAAAGACGGGATGATGGGGCAAATACCACTTCCCTGGCTCACTCTGATCAACTAGTCTTTCAACGTAACCCTTCATTATATGTTTATCGACGACTTCCTTATATTTGGACCAGAGTTCTGCATCTGACAGAAATTTCTTCTGTAAACCCATTAGTCTCTTAAGAGCAACTTTCCTATTACAAACCAACTGTCTATCTTTGAATCTCCATGGTAGGCCAACGCTGAAACGCCCGTTTTCGTATTTACAAGAGTCCTCGGCTATTTTAACTGCTTTTAAGTCTTCTACAGAACGACCCTTCCCTGGGACACCGCAGTCACAAAACTCCTTGTCATACATATTTTTAATCATAGTTTCTAGTTTGTCCCCATCGTTTGTAACTAATGATGATATGTGGACTATGGGTATAGGTCCTCTCACTGTCCATCCCAGTGGTGTTTTTGTCGCAAACAGATCATCTCTACCTCCAAATCTCTCTTCTAATACCTTGTGAGCTTCTGGCACACTACATCCAATGAGTACTCTCACTCTTCCATCTTGCAATGTTGGAAGAGGTATGTCACACAGGTATGGCTTACCGACAACCGTTTCACGACTAGGTACTATAGCTTCGCCAAGTTTCATACTGGAGGTAGTGTAAGCAGTATCCACTTCCACGGTCTCCCCAGTAGCCAAGGATTCTAACTGAAATGACACTCGCTCACATACTACTGTTTTCGCAGAATTGAAAGTATTTACAACCAAGGGTTGCTTTGGGCCTTTAATACCCAAGCAACCAGCCAGTTCAGCATCTATCAATGTAACGTCTGAACCATTATCCAACAATGCATAAGTCTCTACTGAAGATTTCGGTCCTTTCACCTTAACTGGTAATACCCCTAAGAAAACTTGTGGGATGTCAAGGGGTCTAGAGATACTATTACAATTAACCGAATTCCCAGGTTCGTTCACTGTTCTCAGAAGTGGGTGCATATCCGTTAAACCACTACTTCTTTTATTTGTCGCCTTACAATTCCACTTTGTATGCCCAATCTTTAAACAACTGAAACACAGCCGCTTCTGCTTTGCCATTTTTAACCTTTCTACGGGTGACATAGCGATAAAGCGATTACAATCACTCAATTGATGCATGTTATGGCAAACAATACACTCATCCTTTCTCGTTGTGTCTTGAGACTTCACCACAAATGCCTTCCTTATATTCACTGGTTCCTTAGGTTCTACCTTAGAATGCAAAATGCTGGCGAATTTGCCCATCGCCTGGTTGACACTGTCCTTCACCAGTCTAAGAATATCATCAAACCTTGGCTCGATACCCTCCTCCTCTATACGAGAGCTTATTTTTACCCATTTCCTTTGCAGCCGAGTAGGTAGGCGTCTTGCTATTACTTCTAGTATAAAACTCGAGTTGAGGTCACTCATGCGATTCATCGAAATCATTGCATTCTTGTAAATTAGCAAATTATCTAAAAACTCAGTGAGTGCCTGGGAGTCATCCTGTAATTGACCACCATTACCCTTAACAGCCTCGAATAATTTCCCTACAATCATCGAAGGTCTCCCAAACCTTTGACGTAATATGCTCATAGCCTCGTAGTAGCCCTCTTTTGGCTTCATAAACTTACGAAAATAGATATAGGCACATTTTGATTGGCTGTTGGCTAGCTGGCTTCCTATTGGTCTAAAATATAAGTTAAGGCGGTAATCTTTTTATTTTTACACGGAAACTTACCGTCAGTATGATTTAGGACTTATCTTACCATAATATAATGGCGTGTTAATAGGATGTATGCATTTTTGATTACTAGGAGAATATAATTTAACTACAATTTCTAAAAACTTAATGTCCTTAATTAGTACATATAGACAAATGTATGTGTTAACTAATCTATTTTTTAAGTCGTCAATCCAATGACCTGTGGGATTTGTGCATACTAGGTCAGCATAAATCAAGTAAATTTCCCTTCAAATGGTTGAGAGCGACAGTTTAAAGCATATTTTGGTTGATTGTTTCGTGAAGAGAGCGATTTTGAGTCAGTTATAAATTACACCGATCTGTATCTTATTTACTACGTTTTTCAGTGGAGCGTTTCTGGTTCATAGCATATCCTGAATAACGGTGATTAATACGATTTATCACTTAGACCGCAGCACCACCAAGCTTACAACAGTTCTAAACTTATTCTAACCTATTCCTCGATAATGCCTTTTTATGGTAACTGAAAATCTTATTTACCCACTATGTTCTGAAATGATACAGGTCGTGCTTAAAAAGACAGCTGCGTGCTGAATCAAAACTTTCCGCTCTGTAGTAACGCTAGTCCATGCTTAATATGTCCCGCGAAGGCTGGAACAACGTTGATAAGCAAACCCAGTAGGTTCGATTTCGTGCTACTCAAGCTGAAAAACCAGCGCACAGTTTCACTGTCAAACAATGGCAAAACAGTTAGGGAGTTTACTGTTACTATTATTAGCATAGTATATGTTAGTATATTAGCATAGTAAACGTTAATTAGCTCAATGATTGCAAGTTAACCATAATCATTGACTAGCAACATAATAACTGGGAACTTCAGGCTAAAAATAAGCTAACTAGTAGCATCCAGTGACAAAAACTGACCTACACACTGCAAAATGAGCAAAACATCCAGAAAAACCTTTAAAATTCAATGGAAAACGAATACACGAAAACATATAACTAGCCGACGCAGGAACTCATCGTGACCTAGATACTGACTGTAGCCTCTTTCTAAACTTACAGCACTGTATGGCTCTTGCAGCATCTCCAGTGCAATATCTCATCAAATACATTAACTTCAATTCATCATTTAATAGAAAACTATTCAGCATGATCTCAAACTCCTTTACAAATTGTAAATAATCAGCTGGGTTTCCATCAAAACACCGTGGTTCTAATTTAGGGAGTTTGATGTTCCTATTATCCCTGAACGGCGAAACAGTAACATCAACCATGTCATGTTTAACATCACACACATCGTTACAATTAACAGACAAGTCACCATGACTTACTTTCCTGTTTGCATCCAAGACGCTCTGTCCCTTCTTTGACCCAGGCATTGTTGAACTTGACACAATTCCAAAAAAAGGTTCCAGATATTGCTTGTTCAAAGAGGACTTGACCGGCACCAGGAAAGATGAACGGTGACTATCCAAACTTTCACCAACTGTCTGAATCCGCCAGAATCTGTTTCTACCGTCAGAAACTGTCAGCCACGTCTCGTAAACCGTCAATGCCCAGCTCTTGCTACGCTGGGACTCACGCTGTTCCTTGAAGATTTTCAGAAACGCTTAGTAATAACGGACGCAAAAACCAAAACACCGATCGGCCACTCGAGAACTCTTTATTGTTACACCAACATATAAAAATAATGTTTTTACTAGGGTTTCTGATGGTTGTCTCCTGACTTCTTTCTGAACAGCGACCGATGAGACGATGACTGTCGTATTGATGCCTCCGCGAAAATTGGGGAAGTTGGTTTTGAGCAAACAGCCATGAATTGATCGTTCAATCTTCAACTCCATTGACATCCGTTGATCTGAAAAGATCTGCATTCTCATAGGAGGTTGGGACCAGATTTTCCGTTTGGTCGATTAAATTCTCTAATTGCACTTTCGTGTTCAGTTCATTCACTTGTGACGTTGCATCACAAATCTAGGTCCAAGTGCTAGAATTCGCATTTGAATTGGAGATAGTGGAACATTAGAATAATTGTATACGTATTTTTCTGGACAAGTAGGAAAGGCGGTTTCTTTTGTAACGGACTTTAGGCTTTGGTTTAGTTTCATTATAACATCATCTGTTCTTTTATTTGTAACCGTATTGGAGTAGTTTTCGAATGACGTTCTCTCGTCTTCAGATAACTCATAGAGAACGTGGGAGCTTTTTGAGATATTCTGCTCTAGCTCAGGTAGTCTAGATCGCACAGCATCGATGTGATTCAGAGTGTGTCGTTTCAGTGTACGTGAGTTAGGGGATATGCGATTTCGTTTGAGATGCTTCCAAAATACTTTGGGATATTCATGTTTCTCGAGACAATTCTTCAAGAAGAAAATCTTTTGCGTTCGCCTCAGCAAGCATGACGGACAAACGTAGAGACTTCCTCAGTTCCTTTACCGTCGAACGGTCCTTGCTTCTCTTCAAATCACGGAATATACACATTGGGTCATAGGAGTTATTGAGAAGACAATTGCAGCGAAGAAAATTTTCTTTTCGACGAAGTCATCATCTAGGCTGTACATTCGTGTATTTATATCGAATGGATGTGAAATTCCAGAATAATATCCGGTCAAGGGTCAAATTAATAAAAATTAAAATTAGGAATTAGAATGCCATAATATACAATATATCACACTGAAACTGAAGTCATGGTGGTAAGAAGAGTGAAGTGCAAAGTTGTGGCACTCCCAGAAATTAGATTTCAGACAGAGGATATAACTAGAAACCTTTGTAGTTGCAGGTACCCCTCTTACTGGTTTCATAAATTTAAACGTCTGTGGCAGTGAACTCAATCACCATACCAAAGACATGAGTAACACCAGCGGATCAAATCTGCCTTCAGATGGACGAAAACATTCACTGGTTTAAATGTGCAATTAATGACTTGACTTGCTTGCACAAAGTAAATAAGTGTTTCAAATTCCATTTTGTTAATCCCTGTGATTAATTACCTTGGCCGCGCACTTTGACGCGTAGCGCGAGGTTAAGCACGTTAGTGTGTAGCGTATTCTTGGTACTGAGAGTAGTAATACGATGTCTGACTACGCTACTTTCCAAAATTTGCTGTTGCAACTACAAAGCCCAGACAACGAGTCACGTACTCAATCTGAGGTAAATTGTTCCGTCTTCGGTTACACGTTTCCTTAGTCAGCGTACGAGGCTATTGCACCAACAACTCGATTCTCTCTGATTCTCCAAGTACTGAATGACAAAAGTGCAGTTCCTCAGGTTAGTTCCGGTGGATTTTTATATATGGTTTGAATTTTTGTTTTTGTCGGTCCTGGAGATCACCTAACTTGAGTAACAGCTGCATTACGCTAGGTATTAGAACAAAAATTCCCCCATAGTTTTGTTTGTTTTCATAAATAATCCTCCGGTGTCAATTACGATTCATCAGGATAGTAGTAATGCGTGCGCCATGTTCCCAGTCAAATTAAACCAGGCTTCCTCGTGCTTCTCATAAGTACAATACTCTTCAGTCTTTTCAATACTCGGGAGCACATTCTTTAGAGGGATTGTTACTAAGTAATGCTGTCAAATGCACTGCCATTGACGTTAGCACATTAATTATAAGTCTCAAATTTAGTACCTATACTAAAGTGACTGGACATTACCAGTCAACTTTGATTTATACGTACTCAGTGAAATGCGTACTGTGCCAAATAATTGTCACTGATACTGAGATTTCTATCTCTGTTATATTACAGCATAATTATACCTTGTGAATGTGGATGAAAGACACCTATTTTTCTTTGCTGGTTGTGTGGGACTTAAAGTAAGGTTCTGCCTAGCGTAACCTAAATAAACATGTCACATGACAGGCGGTGCGTGAAAGGTTTGGGAGTTTTTCACTGTGAAAGTAAAAAACAGTTTCGATGTCAACCTAGAAGATTGTATCCTGTGGGTAGCGAGGAACATCGAAACTTTCCTGTTTAAATGTCAATGCGTGGGAGATCAGGGTCATCCGTGGTGATTTCCATTAGTAAATCTATGAAAAGAACATAATAGGAATATCAGAATCAGGCATTCTAAAACCACTTAATTTTCATCATTTATTATGATTGTATGAATTTGAGCAGGGCGTTTTTACTTGTGCGATAAACTTTCGGCACTTACTGCCAGTCGTTGCCACTGTCCGTCTGGATCTATGAAGTCGTGTGCCGCCTTCGGGATAAAGAAGATAGCAAGCGTTGAACTCTGGTAGTTATGTCTAGGTTTCTGGACCTGTAGAAGTGTGTGGATGTGATCAGTACTACCTCATCCGTGCTTAAAAGCCATCTAGCTCCCACTGAGTTGGTTTTGTTGACTACCGCGTAGTCTTTACAGAAATATAAGACCCGCGATCCTACCTATTAATCCAGCAGTGATTATTGCTGCGCATGGAGGTGTATTCTGTTAAGCATTTTGCTTAGCTAGATTGTTGCCATCGTCGAATAGTACCTGCGTTTAAAGTACTAGAATGCGTATGTTTTAGTAATTTTATAGAAATAAGTATGTGTGCTAACGCATGAATAACTTGCAACAAGCAGTAGTAAATTTGACTGAGCGATTGTGTAAAACATGGACTCATTCCAGTTAATATACTTTAGTCGAGATACTGGACAGACGTTCATTGATTTTTGAGTTACATGCCTTTTCTATAACCTCAATTTGTTTTTTTGCTCCAGCCCAGTAACCTTACCGAAATTCGTGAACAGAATGCTGCAGTAACTCAACCTTAAATATTTTCTGTGAACAGAACAAAGTTCGTAACTGACCTTTGCCAACACCCTAAATCTTAAAATCTGTGAATTTTCAATTCAAGTCGTCTTAACCTGGAAAAGTCTCACTTCACTGCATAACAGTCGCGCATATCAGATCAGTAGATTTCGATCAATCTGTTGAACTAATCGTCTATATTCTCTAGTTTTCTGAGGTTATTCATCAGATGTATCAAAGGAGTTACGGAAAGAAATACAAGATTACATTCATTTTATGATGTCCATGGGAGAACATTAAGCTTACTCACTTTCCTAATACTCAGCGGTCAATATAATTAAGGATGTTATGTGCATGTAATTATATAGTAACCAGTGAATTTCTTTTGAGGATATATTAACTACAGTGTCGATCAGTTTATGTATCGTGGTTTGTAACTTCCTGCAGATGCCTTCGTATACAGAATTTTCTAAATCTTCATTTTAGTCTCGACATATGGCTGCCATCTTGGGTCGTCGACTACTTGTCAATGACTATGGTTCTGCATTTGAACCTCTTCCTGATGAGACGAAAAACTCGGCCAAGCAACAGTTAATATTGATTGTTGTTCATGAAACCGAGCAGTTGATGCGTCGAAAAGTAGCTGATTTAATTTCTGAATTGGTTCGAGTGCAGTTTGGTAAGTTCCTTAAAAACCATTAGTTATCTTGTTACTGTCTGCTTCTCACGTTTTCTCGCATTGTATATATACAGTATTACAACTTTTAGTGAGAAAAATTTAGGAATCTAAGTGAATGATATAAAAAGCGTAGAGGATTGGGTAGAACTAATTTTAGCTTCCATTTTATTCATTCAGAAACTTCGGAATTTACGCAGATCCTAAAGTCATTGTGTCATCACCTTGAGTGTTTAAAATCGTTAGTGAATTTTGACAATATGAAACCTCGTGATAAGGATTCAGCATCGGTAGAGGATCACATCGTGTAATTCTAACAACAGACGGCAAGACATGGAAGTCAAAGCATATTTTTCATCAATCAAACTTCTATTTATATATCTACAGTTTAAATTCGTTAACCAATCACTGAGCGTATGATTTCGGTTTACATTAAACGATTAGAAATAGAATGTTCTAAAATACGTAGTATTCTGTTGCCAATGCAGTATTGAACTGTGGGAATAACATTCCGACTCTAACATGAAATAGAATGTTCAAATAGATTGATCGTATTCCATTGGCACATATTGTCGTTATCACGCCACCACATAGTGAGCACTTCACAGTTTCTGTGAAAATTATGTGAACTTGTATGCATAGCATTGTATCAGTGTTTTTCGCTAGTACTAAATAAAAATCCTAGGGCACGACAGTGTTTTCAAGTCGAATGACTATGAGTGGTATAGCGCAACCGGTTTAATCAGTAGCAGCTTTCACTGTTGTCAGTTATTCGCACTACACTTTAAAAATGTACTGTATGTTTTTTATTTGTCAGATGATGATGGCATTTCTGAATGGCCTGAGTTCACATCTATCTTACTGGAATGGTCAAATTCACCCGACACCGGTTTGAGAGAGGTTGCCTGCCATATTTTTGCATCAGTTCCGTCACTTTTTGGGAATCAGCAGGCACAGAGTATTGGGATTATTGGTCAATTTCTTGCCAGAGCCATCTCTGATCCTTCGTGTTCAGAGCTTAGGGCTGCTGGATTGCGTGCCCTAGCTGCCTTTGCGGTTCAAAACGCGACTGAAGACTCTGTCCTTCAAGCCCTCAGAGAACTGGTTCCTGTCTCCTTACAGGTAGGTATGGTTCAACATATCTCCAATTATCCTGGTAATTAATTTGTTGTTTATTTATATGTCGTAATAAGTGGTATGCTTTATGGTAACTGAAGTCAGAATTATAAGTTGATAATGTTGTGCAGTGTACGTTAAAATTCTCAATTTAATCAGCCTGTTTAATCGATGAAATGCATTCATATATAATGAAAGCGACTAAAAAGGACCCATCGATAGTAACGAATGTGTTAACGCCTCGCAGTAAGCTTCACCTGTGGATCTCACCACTGAAGTTCCGACAAATGTGGTTAGTTTCGAATTTCCTATCTATTTATTAACAGTTTAGTATATAGACAAATGCTTAGCATATAGTAAAAAAATATCAAGCTCCACATTTAAGTCAACTGTTTCCCGCAGTTCTTATTTGTTTTAAATAGATGTTAAGAATAAAGGAGCTGTAGGGAACGGTCTTGCTCTGCTGTGCATTTCTGGGTCATATAACTGTTATTACAAACATGGCTGTCAGGAAACTCGTGTTCACATGCACATATGGTTTATTAAAATTGTTCTGGTTTTCATTTATAATATTATTAATAGTGAAGAACAGGTTCAAAATCCAGAAAATCGCCAAGAAGCATAAGTCTCATATTTACTTCATTATGAAGTTGGAATGAGGTAATATTAAGTTCATCAGCCGTTCCTTTCAGCGACTAGGTGTCTTACATTAACACAACTTATATTTTTTGGCGTCGTAATAGTCTGACCTAACTCTATTCAAGCTTGTCAACCGATCTGAGAACCATATTCATCATTAAATTGACAGCCTCAAGTAGCTTCGAAAAAAGGTGATAACTAAGATTATTCATCCCCATAATAGCAGGGGAACAAAATGTGACCGTGAAACTAGCCTGACTATTAACTATTATAAAGCCTGTTTACTCTTCTGTAGACTTTGGTATTTACTTGAAAACTCATTGTCCACAGATATTACTTTTATAGTTACACGTAGATACTTAGTGAAAGTAAACTGCTGCACGCTAATCGTATGTAGAGTTGTCCACTACTGACTAGGGTTTTTGACGTTTTTCTTTATTCAACTGTGTCATTTCCTCAACTTCACAAATAGTTTCAGGCTATGAAAAGTTCATCTTTAAAAAATTAAGTTGACATAGTATCTCATCACATTGTGCTTTCTCTCAATGATCTAGGTCTTGATACCCACTTCCCCTTACATTTGTTAGTGCATACGCATTATTTTACTTGGTATGCTTTTTAGCTTGTCATCCTTATATGAAAGAAGTATATGGTTCACCGTTTATTGTTCTCTGTTGCAGGCTATTACTACGGCAATTCAAAGTGATCCAGAAGACGATACACCTCTCAAAGCCTTGGTCGATATCGCGGATGCCGCTCATAAGTACTTGAAACCCTATCTAGCGCCTACATTGGAATTGTGCTATAAAGTGAGATGTATACATTTTGAATTCCTGGAAGGTTTGATGGATTTACTTAACGTTTGCGTTGTCTTTTAATCTACATAAGCTAACATTTCAAATGAAATTCCCATAGAAGTTTTCCATAGACAAATAATCTAATTAAGACACGTTTTACAGTCAGAAATTATTTGTCCCCCCCTTCCATAAACTGGAATTGAATTTCATTCGTGTGCAGGATAACAAAGTAATTTTTAAATAAACAAAGAAAAAAACTGCTGTAATATATGTAAGGGTGAAAGTCACATTCAAGAGGAAGCAAATTTTATTTGCGGAGCTTGACTTTCGTTCGCCTTGCTGAGATTTACAAACAACTTGTATTTAACTAGCTAACGCTTCACACGTTTAAAGACGAACAGTCATTCATAACAGAACTGTCTAACTGTATTTAAGTCAAATGACCCTCAGCATACTCAAATCTTTCGAGGATGGAAGTTTGTGCAACGAGAATGCAACAACTATTCATGTTAGTGGCATGACACAGCTTGTAAAAGGGATATAAAAGACAACAAAGATGACACTTAAACATTTGAGCACAGTTAAAAATCATGGGAGATTGTATAGACAGTTCCTACAACAAATTATGACTGGTATTCGATATATGAGTTTACGCACATCCTGTGCTTACGACTGAACGGACGTAGGAAACAGCTGGCGGTAAAACCATCACGTCCCCAGCTCGATCAGGAAACTAAATCCCTATTTAGGGAAGAACTAGCTAAACACATATCTGTGTTCGACAGCTGTGCTCACCCTGAAGAAGCTTGGAAGAATATCCAGGCAGCCATAGATACAGCTGTAAAGGCTGTGAATAAGGTAAACCCAAAGGTGAGTAAAAACCACTGGATCTCCACCACCTCATCCGAACTGATAGATGCTAGAAGACTTATTCCGGCGAGCTCCGAATTCAATGAGGAGCGAAAGCTGCACAAAAGGAAACTTGCGAAAAGTCTCCGCAAGGACCGTGAACAGTAGTGGGTGAACATAGGCGAAAGAGATGGAAAAAGCTTTGACGATAGGCAACACCAGGCAACTATTTAGCCTCATCAGGGAAACAGGTGGAGAAGACATTCATTAATTTACCTGCCTTGTAAGTGGAATTAGCTTTAGGTTGGTAAATGAGGACCTGTACACGAGCACAGGCTTGTTTGATGTGTCGATTGATACTACTAGTGTTACTGATGATATACTCATATCTATTAATTAATAAATGTAATGTGAACGTACTGACTACCGTATTGCATGACTGATATATGGAAAGCAGATGAACTGAAAACTGCCCTATTTAAATACTGTTGCTTTCGTACTATAATATACTATTGAAGATGACTGGGACGTGTGTTGAACATATATAGCCGATGTAGCATTTAGTTAAAAAGTTCTTTATTGTCTCAGGGGGTTTCAATTATGATTTTGCTTTGTTGTTTTCTTAACTTCACTTTAGTGTGGTAACATGGAATGTGCTACATGATGTCCATTTAGATATCATGTATGGATATCAACTCCCTGATGCTTTGTTGAAGTAGATTTCAAGCCTACAAAAGCTGACCTGTCTGCAGATACTTATACGTTAATAATATTTTTTGTAATTCTCATATATGCTCAGAATTTTTCTTCTCTCTACAGATATTGTGTAACGAGGAACTTTCTGAACAACAACGACAATTAGCCCTCGAAGTTATTGTTACGTTGGCAGAAAACATCCCATCTGGTGTACGAAAGTCTTCTAATTTGATCGAGTCGCTTGTTGGAACACTGTTAAAAATGATGTCAGAAGTTGATGAGGAACCTGACTGGGCAGATGCAGATACTGCAGAAGAGGAAGATGAAAGTAGCAACGCTTTAACAGCAGAACTCGCTCTCGACAGGTTATCATGTGCTGTTGGGGGTCAGCATGTGCTGAATGAGATCCGTCGATCAGTCCCAAATATGCTTCAACAAGGTGAGTTGTGAGGAATATTTAAGTTTCACTTTATTCCTTCACAAAATGGAATAAATATCGAAAAAATTAAAAATTTGTTGAAGTGCACTGATGTGTGTCGTTTTTAAAGGTTACCAAAATCATTTTAATAATTTTCGGTAAGCATTTCTGTTTTTTAAACTACAGCTGACTGGAAACGACGCTATGCTGGTTTGATGGCCATTTCTGCCTGTAGCGAAGGTAGCAGCAAACAGATGGAGACAATGCTTGGTTCTATACTAGATGCTGTTATTCCTCGTCTTAGTGATCCACATCCACGTGTTCGGTATGCCGCTTGCAATTCTGTTGGCCAGATGGCTACAGATTTCGGCCCGAAACTACAGAAAACTCATCACAATATTGTACTTCCAGCTTTAGTTCAAACACTAGATGATACCGTTCCTAGAGTTCAGGCCAATGCTGGAGCTGCTCTTGTGAATTTTTGTGAAAAAGTACCACAGGTTTGTCGGTGAAACACTTTTCCTGTTTTAATGGTGTAGATTTCTTGCATTTCACAACTGATAATGATGAACGTTTTGGTTCTATTGCTTTTTGCTCAGTAATTCTTAAATGCATCAAAACAGTTTCATTGGAAACTGTTTTGTTCTTCGTTATTACTCCTCCTTTGTCTCACACCTCTGCTCACTGTCTCTATTATGCATTTTTTGTACTTTCCTCTCTTGCTTCGCATGCTACACGGAGTGTGGCGACTTGAACTGCCGCACATATGTGCAAAGTTCTATGTCGAAAACAGACTGACAGACTAACAGGTTATTAAACATTTCCGACGTGCTAGTGAAATGTTACACTACTTGAAGTAGATGAGAATAATGTAATTGCGTCATGGAGTATTACAAAAAATTTGTGTTCATTATAATGCAAATATCGTTCACACTTAAGTAGCACTTGGTCACTTCGTGTCTTTTTCAAAAATACAACCTTTGACCGTGGTATTACACATATGTTGATCAGAAGACAAAAAAACTGTTCTTAGAGTTATTCTGATGCTTATTTGATAAAACAACAAGTGTTCGGTGTGAAATGAAGTAGTGAAGTGATTTGAAGAGACTTAATCTAAAGTTATTAGTTGTGGTGAATTTCAGTCAGAACATCAGGGAAATTTCTACTTAGTATCTGTGTACTTCATCTGCACTTCTGAGGTTACATTATCTTAATATAATCATATTATAGCTTCGTTGTATAAAATGTTTCCTACACACGACATAGCAGTACTAATAGGGGGTCCGAGGATTTAAACAACTGTAGTAGCTTTAAAGCCTTTAGGTGTGTTTTTGTCTCAGTAATCTCATGGAATTATCAAAGGCGAATTTAGTGGTCAGCTTATTCACCTACAATAAGTAGGTGGGGCATCATAGTAGGCATCTTATCTAAAGACTACATAAAGCCTTAAAAAATTAAAAATGTTTCTTGATTTATCGTTTTTCTCAATAGCCTATTGAATATCAAAGTGCAAACGATATATTGCATTTGCACTTGATTTTAAATTTTATAGAATATTTTGGCGAATTATTTGGATGGCTTAGTTTCGAAACTTGAACAGATAATGAATTCTAAATTCCGAGAAATGGTGGAACATGGTCGCAAATTAGTGCTCATGCAAATAGTTACAACTGTCGCATCTGTCGCCGATGCCGCTGAAAAGAAGTTCTTACCATATTATGATCGGTATGTATGGTTATTTTATTTTGAGCTTCATGATATCTGTTAGAATTAACATGTTAGAATTAGCTTTTTTGTCTGTCAGTTTCATAATATGAACTACATTAACAAGTACATCAGAATCTTTAGCATAACAGACATCTGAAATTAATTAGCAACCGACGTATTAAATTTCCCTCTATTTGACATACTTTTTCCGTTTCCGAAATCGATATCGTTAATCAGTTAAGTGTAGGCATAGAATTATCCATCCATTTTTAAGCGTAGTCATACACTGGTCTTGACTATTATATATTTTGTTGTTTTACGGACAAATTATTTGTGGGCCAGTGACATTGCCACTTGGTTTTATCCCTCTGTATGAGCTAGATTTTTTCTTACTTCTTATCCACAGCTTTATGCCGGTATTGAAGTATATAATGGAAAACGCTGTGCACAAAGATTTACGTGTGTTACGTGGCAAAACTATCGAATGTATTAGCTTAATTGGACTGGCCGTTGGAAAGGAGAAGTTCCTTCAAGATGTGGGACCAGTGATGAACTTACTACTTCAAACACAAACTCAACCCGACTCCGAATCATCAGTCGATGATGATGACCCTCAGGTAGTGACTCTCTATGCTGTATATTGATAGTTTTTCTTTTTGTAACTCCTTTTCAATGCTGACCTTTCACTGTTATTTTAAACGTCTAGGCTTCTTATATGATAAGTGCTTGGGCACGAATCTGCAAACTTTTGGGTCGTGATTTTGAAAGTTACCTACCCGTTGTTATGCCACAAGTACTGCGCTCTGCCTGTGTAAAACCTGAGATATGCATACTTGATAACGACGAGGCAGATAATGTGGAATCCGATGTCGACTGGCAAGTTGTCAAACTTGGAGAAGACAGGAATTATGCTATTCGTACGAGGTGAGTGTCAAACACAAAAATTAAACTCAATGCCCCGTTATCATTTAACTCTACTACTAACTTCATTTTCGATTTCTTTTCAGCGGACTAGAAGACAAAGCCACAGCTTGCCAAATGCTTGTATGTTATGCGCGTGAAATGAAAGAGAGCTTCGCACCATATTGCCAACAAGTTCTGGACATAATGGTTCCGTTACTTGATTTTTATTTCAATGATGAAGTAAGTTTTGTAGGAATCCAGTTCCGATTAACTTTATTGACGCTGTTTGCTTTTGTCTTCTTAATATCTATTCGTCCTCATGACTGATTAGTCTTCTCTCCTAGAATTTCCACTTATGCATAACTTTGATACGGCATATTAATTAGTGCTCGATTATTATTTTGTTATTTTTTTGTTAGTGCTTAGTTTATCAAAATTACTTGAACTGTTTATTTTTCTTTCTTAAATAAACAGGTTCGCAGTGCTGCAGCTGAATGTTTACCTTTTCTCCTCAGCAGTATGAAGGCTAAACAACCAGAGGTAGTAGCCAGTGCCTGGGACTGTGTACACAAAAGTCTGATACGTGCGGTGACCAATGAACCTGAACGTGATGTGGTTGCAGATCATCTACAGGCACTTTCGAATTCTATAGAAGCTGTAGGAAAGACATATATAACCAGTGACCAATTAGCTGAAATTCGAAGTTTATTGGATCATCTATTTCATGAACACTTTGAAAAAAGTGAAGAACGCCTTGCTCAACGTCAAGTGGGTTACAATTCCTTTTCATTGCTTCTGATAATTTAAAATAAGGTTAGGCGGTTTTAACAGTTTGATATACAGATTTCCTGAAATCAGAGTACTTTTTTAATGGTGCACTTTCCTATTTTTCTCCGAAGTTAATAGGGGAAGTAGTTTGGTTGTTCACACTTATTGCCCACTTTAACTTAATTTTATAATTCTGCATTGTTCCCATCAATTCTCATCAAAGGATGTTGGATCTCAATAATTAACCCATTCACATTATGCTTTGTGTGTGAAAATCTAGGTATACTTTTTAATTCAGTTGGGTTAATACAAGTTTGGGAGATGTATAACTTACTCATATCAGCTTATTGTATGCACATCAAATGATTTATATTGCAGTATTTTACTCTACTTAGATAAAACAGAACTTCTTGTACAGTCCATTTTAATGTATTCCAATAATCATGCGTAGACTGAGGCACAAACACGAGAGATCCAGGCAGGCGTTAGACCAGGAAGAGGGTGTATTGATCATATCTCCACCCTCCGACAGATTCTAGAACATAGGGATTCCTACCGGCGCCCAACAATCACTATATTCCTTGACCTAAAGGCAGCATTCGACTCTGTCGATCGAGTTCTCTGGAGACGCTTGGTTGTAAAGGGAATGCCGAGAAAATATATTGCACTGATTAAGGCACTCTACTCGTACTCGTGCAGCCAGGTGAGGGCTTACGGCGAGTTGTCATCTGAACTGGTGACGGCTAGTGGTGTCCGTCAAGGATGCCCATTATCCCCTTTCCTATTCAACTTCATCATAGATGTGTTAATGGACTTAACCCTAAGTGACTTCAGCGACTCAGGGATTGACTTGCTACCAGGGAATAATCTCGTTGACTTTGAATATGCAGACGATATAGTCCTTCTAGGGGAGGACGCTGACAAAATGCAGTCTTCTAAACACCTTGAGCAGCCATATACGAATGTTTGGCATGCGATTCGCTCCTGCCAAATGCAAGATGATGTTACAAGACTGGACTACACCGACTCCTAGTTTAAAATTAGGAAATGAAGTGGTAGAGCACGTTGACCGCTCCACTTATTTGGGAAGTATCATCAGCCCCAACGGGTTGATCTCTGACGAAATCTCAGCACGGATACAGGGGGCTCGTTTCACATTTGCCAGTTTACGCCGACTCTGGCGTAGACGAGATATTCGACTATCGACCAAAGGCGAGTGTACTGCTCATCAGTCCGCTCCGTCCTCCTTTATGGCTGTGAGACGTGGCCACTGAGAGTGGAAGACATGAAAAGACTAGCTGTCTTTGATCATAGGTGCCCGCGCTGTATTTCCTGTGTGAAGTGGCATAGTAAGGTGAGCAATATTGAGGTTAGGCGTTGAGTTCTAGGTAAACAGGGGAAATCAATCGACGAAGTTGTGAAGTTACAAAGACTGAAATGGTTAGGACATGTGTTACGTATGCCAAGCCATCGCCTCCCTCGACGAGTAACGTTAGCGGATATAGGGTCAGGCTGGAAAAAAACTAGTGGCGGTCAAACAAAAACTTGGCATCAGTCAATGAAATCCACAACAGTTAGTCTAAGCCACGTACGTAGGAAGGTGTAGACTTCCTGACTGGTTGGGGTCCTCGGGACGGTAAAAATCAATGGTTGGAAACAATTGGTGATATGGCTCAAAATCGTTTTCAGTGGTGCAGATGCATCCACTCCTTGTGACTTATGATTTCCAATGAAACTGTTTTGTTCGTCGTTATTACTCCTCCTTTGTCTCACACCTCTGCTCACTGTCTCTATTATGCATTTCTTCTACCTTCTTCTCTTGCTTTGTGTGTTGCAAAGTGGGAGTGTGGCGACTTGAACTGCCGCACATATGTGCAAAGTTCTATGTGGAAAACAGACAGGCAGACAGACATTCCATAAGGTCGAGATTGTATATCGCCCCACCTACTTTAGTCTGGACAAATGGGTAGTTCATTAGCGTTCACGCAGTAGATGTAGTTTACATCCCGTTACTGGGTAACTTAGTCTTGACTAACTAACTATTGTACGAGACAAATATTTAAATATTGTAACATCTTTTTTTCAGAATGAGGATTATGATGAATTCGAAGAGGAACGTCTACTTAGTGAAAAAGATGAAGATGAGTACGTTCTTTCTAAGATGTGTGAAGTAGTACATTCCGTTTTTGTCGCCTTTGGTGTGGAAGCCCTTCCGTTCTTTCAACAACTTATGGTATTCTGTGTCAAACTTTTGGTGAGTTTTCCAACTTGTTTATTTTGAATTTAGCGTCGCTTTCAAAAGCATCCTAATATAATCTCGTTGACATTTCAGTGAACCTTATCGATTTCAAATGTTTACAAAATTCCCCACACATTAAAATCAGAAATTCACGTAAATAATGGTTTTCGTGATGTCACATGTATCATTTCATAAAACATTCATCCAGTTGCCAAGTTATTATAGAAGTCATGTATTTTGCATGTATGCCCATATTTTCTAAAACAAAGTTGCGAATGTGTATATTTCTGACGATGATTTTGTTAGAAAGTGAGGAAATATTCTTCCGAAAGAAAAATCGGAAGAAGAATATTTTTTGAAATTTTTATTCAGAGAAAAAGTCATAAAGTGAGGTGTCGATACTTTCAGTTTTACTTTATTTTCCACAGGAACAAAATCGTCCTTGGTCTGATTTGCAATGGGGTATATGTTTGTGGGATGATGTAATCGAGTTTACTGGAACACAAAGTTGGCAGTTCCACCAATTCTTCCTACCTACATTCATTCAGGCTATACAGCATCAGCAACCTGATGTTCGTCAAGCTGTCGTATATGGGATTGGCGTTGCTGCTATAAATGGTGGTCCAGAATATAATGAGATATTGTCTAATTTTGTGGGTCCTCTCATCCAGTTAATTGAAGCCGAAGATTCCAAATCGGAAGAAAACAACTTGTGCACCGAAAATGCAATCAGTGCGGTTACAAAGGTAAATTTGTTTATGTGGGTTATATTTTTTAGCGTAAAAGAAGCAAGATTATAAAGTTACCTTTGTCTTTACTCATTAGTAGGTATAAGTACCAAGATATTCGATACATTGAACTCGTATATATGTCACTTGCGTTATTGCGGATTTTGGTTTCGTTTAGTTATTACTTATATGTACTAAGCAGTTTTCACATTTAGGTAGTTACTAGGTAAAATTTTGCATAACACTGCTTCATTATACATGGTGTAGCTAACATATTCTCATTAGATCTAGTGAACTATCCACATTGTAAATGAAAGCTAATTTTAATGTTCCCATTGGTCAACAGATTATGAAGTACCGACCCGAATGTTTGCCACCGGCAATAGGAGGAATTGACGCGTTGATCAACCGATGGCTAGGCTGGCTTCCTATATGGGATGATACTGTGGAAACTGAACATGTCTACGGCTATCTGTGTGACCTTCTTGAGGCTAATAATCCTGTTGTAATTGGACCAGACAACTCTAATTTACCACGTATTGTTCGCGCCATTGCAGAATCCATGTCCACAGGTGGTTTGTCTGATAGTGACACAGAAAACAGTAGCCCAAAACTAGCAGCAGGTGATCAAGCTGGTGGTTTCAACCAACAAAACGGTTTGGACAAACCCTCTACTTATCAGCGGTGCGTGTCAATATTGCGCCATATCCAGGTAAATATATTCAAGATCTTTTCTTTTTATGTAAGCCGTATTAATACTGTTTCAGATAAATAAGATTAAAAACGTATCTAATAACGATGGAAAAAGTACTTCGTATTGAAATACCTAGTTTGCTCACCTTTGAGTTTTACCAGAGGTATCTCCAATAATGAAGAAAATCTGGAGGGAATCCTGAATTTTTTTTCAAAATCTGTAATCCAGTTCACATTAGAAAGGGAGTCCTACTCTAAAATATCTTCTCTGGACATTCAACTAACAAGATGGAACAGTGAAAAGACCCATTTTCAGATAGCCGATATAGAACGGAAAACTCACTAATTTTTACAGTTGGGTGCGTGTATATATAAAAAACCACCCATACTTTCTACTCCTAAAAGACTTCTGTACTTGAGTCTACAATTGAATACTCGTCCTCAGAAATACTGAGAAACCGCCTGTCCCGCTTATTGGTTAAACCTTCACAGCTGAACTCCGACTGACCTCCCCACAAAACCAATAATTCTCATGAACGTGAAGGATAAGCTACCACTGTTGGCCTCATTGATGTATGCCTACCAGTTCACCTGCTCGTATGGAGCTAGGTATGTAGACTGCATCATTGAATACTTTACCTCTTGGTTTTATAAATGAGAAAAAAGGTCTCCCTGCAGCTCTATCCTGGAACATCTTATTTAGTCTGGATACCAAGCCAACCTACAAACCATTTTCAAAGTCGTCTACAAAATAGGTGGGAACCTTGCTGAGAATGTACGGATCAAACTCCATTAAACCGCACAAGCAGTGGTAATTCACAGTTTAAGTTTGTCTAGTCATTAAATCCACAATAAATCTGATGTCATAACACTGAATACGTAGTTTTTGTTTTTAATTTTTGAATTGTATTATTTTCTACCCTCATCCTCGATTACCAGTGTTGTTAACTTGACTGTCGTTCAGTTTTAGTTGAATTGGACTCAATCTCGTCAATTATTTGACATCATTAAATTTGTTTGTTAACCTTTATTTTATTTGCCAGCAGCCTAACACTACGTTATTTCTTATCTAAAAGATTATAACTCTAATGACACCTTTGGAAATATTCTTTTTGTTGCAAGGAAAATTTACTGCATATATATATATATATATATATATATATATATGGTAGTACAGCTTGAAGATGATATCGCTGAGAAGAGTGACTCTTCGCTGAACAGTTTTTGTTTTAATTTGCTCACTTTCTATTCATATTTCACTTTCTACACTACTTTCTTTCCAGGGGTGTTTATTGATAGAAAGCTACAACTCTCAGTTTCGAGCCAATAAATAAAAGTGGCCTACTGTAAATGTCTTACGGTTGGCTTTTGGCTCGTAATACACGACAGTTTAATGAGCTGTAGGAAAAACCTGTTTTCAGTTAGGTATATCTGAATGCCAAAGTAGTTCTAGATTCTTCTGTTGAACGCTTTCTCTTGTACTTTCCCACTCATGAGTTTCCGTGACAAATTATTCCAGTTTTACTCTGTTCGTGCATCTTCTCTTTGAAGCTCTTAGTATCTCTACTGAAAACAGCTCGAATTTTCACAGTATTTTATAACGAAAAGGTAACGCCTAACGCATACACAACTTGAGTTTGAAGACAATGATTCAAAAAATGAGGAATTGATTACATCAGTTTTACTTATCAAACTAACACGTAATAAACAGAATATAAATGATTCTGCTTCCACTCCAAACACTTTGTCGCCAAAGAAAGTAAAAATAAGAAGTTACTTACACTGCATACATGGGTTTTAGGAGTTGTTAGATTGCCTTGATTTGAATATGTGCAATACATTGTGCTTAAAACGTCAACCAGAAGAATGTTATGTTCAAGGCTTAAGTGGCCTAGTGGAGAACACTTTGGAGTGTGAGGCGAACCATCATTCAATGGGGATTACAGATACATCTAGCTGACGACTGCCAAATGCGCATACTGGATTCCACTAGTACTCACCATTCATCAAATATCATGGCTGTTGTGTTTTATTGGCGCATATGGATACATTCAGTTCTTGAATCCAGGTGACTGAAGATACTTTAAAATACGAATCACATGTACTGCTTATAAATGTTGCTGATGTTCTGATATCAATTTTTTTTAGAAGATCAACGACTAATTCTCATGTTTTTCCTTCCTCTTTCAGTCTAATTCGTCCTTGGTAGAAGCTTGTGTAAGTCAGCTTAATGAAGAACAACGTAAAGCTCTGGGTGTAGCTTTGATGAGTCATTGATTCGGAGAATAAGCAATGCCTTTCCTGTTTGTCCATACGAATGAACACTACTTGATTCATACAATAACTTATTTGTTTCCACTTACGTATTAGAACATACCGATTCACTCATATTATAGATCTTGTAAATTATTCCAAAAGTATAGACGGAACGCTTTTTGCATCTCTTTCAATTCATTTGGTTTTCAGTTGCGGTTATTTTGATATGGTTACCAATCTAATGTTACAAATATTCATAAATTGTTCTTTGTCTATTTCATTCAATCAGATTCAGATGATAATGTTCCCTCATTATAAGCGTTTGTTGCACATACTTATAAATATTGGTTTCTGTCTCCTTCCTGTATTCAACGTAATTTCTATCCTCTGCTTTACTCATAGAATTAATCCAAAAAAGTTTGTTTTTATTGATGTTGATTGGATAATGATCAGATTTCTAACTGTAACCAAATCAATAAGTCCATTTCACCAATCTTATTAACTACTCAAAATATAGTTTGGGGTAATAATTATATGAAAATACATGAAATGACCGCTTGGTGTTTCATACTATTGTGTTACTGCTATGAATATTGTTCATTGATTGAATAATCTGCGTCGTTTTGATATCATAAATAGATTCATCATTTCTGCAAAGTAATGAATATGAAGTAATTGTAGTACGTGAATTTGGCAATACACCATATACTACGAGTGTTCAAAAGTGATAGTGTGAACACACTTACTGAAAACGATGAATATAATTAAAGAAATTCAGCATGCCAGACTAAGTTATGCGTAAACGGATCGTAAAAATGTTCATTCTTTCGCGATATTATTCTGGTTAGGAAATCTATTTTCAAAGGATCTCAGTATTGTTTTGGTGGAATATTTTAAGTGAGTAATCCAGCTTGCTGCTCATCGTCAGCATGTTAGTGATTTTCTTAGCGAGTAGGCGTTAAAATACAGTTGACTTTTACGTTTATTCTCATTTCAAACCCGTTGGATACCTTCGCTTATTTGACCTTATTCATGTTAGTTCCGAGATCTGATAGTTACTTGTTTTAAGAAGAAACCACCTTATTCGGTTTATCTTATCATTTCACTTCTTGATTTGCTCTTTTGGCTCTATGTTAATGCCCACCAATGAAATCTAAAACTGGAGTACATGGTGAAGTAAGACTGGCTTATAAGTCAGGCGTGTTGAGCTGGCCATCACAACACTTTGATACTGACGTCTAAATTCTGTGTTCACGAATGATAATGAAGAACGTCAAACTTGTTGCAAGTTGGCTGACGTTAACAAAAGCATTAGTAGATTCAAACCACCTGTGTAAGTATGCAGTAAACTCCCGTAAACATTGTACCTGCCAAAATGATTTAATATTCAGAAACTCAACATCTAAAATCAGATGGTCGTTGGGAGCTTAAGATTAGACTGGTGGACATGCAGGGCGACAAATAAGATTTGGAATACGCTGACTCCAAACATGTGCATATGATCTCCAGAATCCGCAGAGAAAATAATGGCGTAGAAATAAATCTGCATTGGTTATCAACAACCACGCGAAAGCAGGTCCTGTAGCCTTGTCGATCGAACTCAAAGGAGTAGAGAAACACTGGCTATAATTAGAAGACGCGGAGTAACGCCATTTTTGGCTTTTGAAAACGTCGCGCTTATAAAGGACTGTCTTTGCTGCAACTTCTTGATGCCCGTGAGACCGTTTCGCCAGATAGTGAGATTAGTAAACTGTTTAGTGTTTCAATGAGGATAACACAAATGGTGATCAGCAAGTGCATAAGAAGTGAAATCAGCTGTATCTTGAAAAATCTGGCTGCAAATAACGAAGTATCAACTAGATGCTCTGTATGGTAGTTGGCGCATTGATCAAAAATCTAAGAAACCGCTTGAAACTGTAGGTGGACCACTGATAAGTAGTTTAGCCGGTTCAAAGCTCCAGTTTTCAGTATCATTTCACTAGAAAAAGCGATCCGGAGAGAACTCTCAGTATTAAAAGAGAATAGGGGAAAATAACGAAGATTAACTATTCTCTCTCCTTAATATAAGAATAAAACTTGTGCACTGTGGTAGAGTGTAATTCCATTATGGGTAAATTTTGTTTTGATAAAGTCTCACAGTGTTATACAGTAATGTTTACTGATGACGTTTCGAGCACAATTTATTGCTCATAATCATATCAAGGTAATCACACGACTTCCTAAATTCATTTATATAGTTCCATTGTTTTTCTCTTGACTTTCACTTGATTTGATTGGTAGTAGTATTTTCCATATTTCAGGTATGAGTGACGAGTCATTCCTATTGCATGTGTTGGGTGTAGACTCGATGAACAAGGATTCAGAATCAGAAAATGAACAAGGAGAATTAGCTATGTTAGATTGTAAGATAAAAAGAATAGAAGAAGGCAAACTACACACTAGTGTTTATAGAAAACCGACGCATTCTAATAGATATTTAGACTTTAATTCGTCTCATCCTTTAACTGTTAAGGCAGGCTTAGTTAAATGTTTAACAAACCGAGCAGTGGCACTAAGTAGCACAAAAAAAGATCTAAATGATGAATTAAAACAGATAGAAGAAGCGTTGGTGTTGAATAACTATCCTATAAAATTCATTAGGAAGATCACTAAAGGCCAAAAACAAAATAAAAATAATTGTGAAACTAGTAATAATAACATAAATAAGAAAGAATATAAGTCATCCACAGTTATACCATATAAAGAGGGGACATCTGAGACACTACGTAGGATTCTGAATAAAATAGGAATTAGGGTGGCATTTAAACCTACAAACTCACTCAGGGACAAGCTCTGTAGGTTAAAGGACCCAGTTGACCCAATTAGACAAAATAATATTATTTACAAAATACCATGCAATGACTGTGAGGTCAACTACATAGGTCAAACTAGTAGGTCAGGGGTAGTCAGATTGTCAGAGCATAAGAATTTAGCTAAGGTAAGAATGGTTGACCCCGAGAAGATAAGTAATTTAGAAAAAAGCTCAGCAATTGCAATGCATGCGCTAACACACAACCACACAATAGGGTGGGAGAGAGTTAAAATTCTAAAAAGTAATCTAGGTAGGTGGAGAGAGAGGTTGATTACTGAATCCTTGTTCATCGAGTCTACACCCAACACATGCAATAGGAATGACTCGTCACTCATACCTGAAATATGGAAAATACTACTACCAATCAAATCAAGTGAAAGTCAAGAGAAAAACAATGGAACTATATAAATGAATTTAGGAAGTCGTGTGATTACCTTGATATGATTATGAGCAATAAATTGTGCTCGAAACGTCATCAGTAAACATTACTGTATAACACTGTGAGACTTTATCAAAACAAAATTTACCCATAATGGAATTATTCTCTCTCCTCTTAAAGTTGCTGCTGATACTAGTTAGGTAACCGATGACATCTTTTTGGAGAGTATAAGATATAAAAATGTCCTATCAGTGTGTAACGAAGTTATTAGCTTATGTATTGTTTAAAAAGACCTACGTAACTCATGTGTTGAGCACCAGTCATTAATCACTTACGTCTAAAGTATTGCATTTGGAACAGGAAGCAAGAAATATAAAACAAATGGGAAACTGATGTGCAAAGAACCAGACTAGATTCCGTCCAGGTCATTGGTAGTGTTCATCTTTGGTGTCTGTTGTTAGAACACGATAACACATTGCAAGCCAACGATGGTTGTGTTTGGTCGGAGGCTTTCATCATTTGCAGACGTCAGTCAGAGAACTATTGGGAAGCCTGGGAGTACTAGACAGCTGTTTCGTCCTGGTTTGGGGCTCTTCAGCATCACATGCCTACTGGGGTTCGAGACAGCTCTCCAGTTAGATGTCTGCTTATGATGAAATCCTCCAACCAATCAAACAAAATCCCTACAAAACCAATACTTGAAGGTTGTTGTAGTTCTGTCTCCAGAATATCATCAATAGCAAAGTGGGTTAGAAATGGCGAGATCAGGGCACTCTATCTAATCCAAACGCTGGTTGTATGCTCTCACTTTATGTGAGGTGTTGTTTATAGTCGTAGACTGATATCCTGATGGTTACACATATGAGTTACGTAGATTTTTCAAACGAAACATATGCTAATAGGATCATTACACACTGATAGAACATTCTCATACTTATATCTTCAACTTTTCGAAGCGATGCGGCCACTTACATGATGTTTTGAGTTCTGTAATAACGTGTCTTCATCCAACCTAGTTTTGATTCTGTCTGAGCTTTTTGTTGTGCTGGTTCTCAGGTTTTCTCGTTCAGCCATATTAATCGTATTGCAGTAGTGAACCGTGGGAATAATATTCCGAGAATATGTGTTGATAATATTCCGTTGGTACACACTCTCTGTATCGCACCAATACACCGTTAAGCAGTTTAGACTGAAGTCGGCTCGACCTTCTTGGTGCTGGCGTCTTCGTTTACTTGTCTCGCTGTATCCATTTCTGGAGCTTACTGACGTTCATCCGCTTCTCTTCGCCTATCTCTACATTTAACTTGATCTCCGATGTTGGATGCTGGGTATTTCCCCTTTACCCTCTGCTCGGATTTCACAGCGTCCATCTTCCGCTTTCGTTTTACATTATTGATTGCTTCTTTTCGCTTCGACCGCCATCTCGTTATACTCCACTGCTGGTGGCGGGTCAGGTCTTGTTATGTATCGGTAGTCGTGGTTTCCTCCCGTACATCAACCGAAACGGGGATTCCTTCGTCGTTTCTTGGGTGAACGCACGATGTGCTAGCAGAGTCAGTGGGCGCTTTGTCTCCCAGTTACCTCCCTTTGTGGCCAGCCACTCTTTTAGGGTACGGTTATTTCTCTTCGTCAAGCCGTTTGTTTGTGGATGATATGTCTGTCTGTCTCTCTGGATTCAACATAGAACTTGGCACCGAAGTGCAGCGGTTCGAGTTGCCACGTTCCAAATAGCACACAGAGGTAGACAAGAAGATGAGTGAAGAGAATCAATAGAGTTTGACAAGTATAAGAGTGAAACAGAATGAGTAATGGTAGAAAGCAATATGAAAGATTACAGAGACTGAATACATCTGCGCTGGCCATTGACAACGATTTTGAGCCATGTCACCTATTGTCTCCAGCCATTGATTCCTAGAGTCCCGAGGGCCCCAACCCGGGAGTCTGCATCTCCCTACCTGACTCAGTTTAACTGTCAAGGATTTCATGGATTGATGCCATGTTTTTGTTTGGCCACCACTGGCTCTTTTCCAACCTGAACCTATGTCAGCTAGCAATGCCCGTCGGGGAGGCGGTGGTTAGGCATGCGCAGCACGTGACCTAGCCATCTTAGTCTATGTAACTTTATAGCCTCGTCGATTGATTTCCCCTCTTTGCCCAACACTCTACGCCTAACGTTGTTCTAATTTTCTTGATACTTAGCTCTTGCAACCGGACTTTTAACTCTTCACTTTCAAAACACGGACTCCGGTCTGTCAGTGTCGGTTTTGACAAACCGTGGTTTGCGACGATATGTCGAACCACTGCTTCTGTCACCGTTTTTGCTCGTCGATCAGGGATCGTGACTGCGTCTAGCCATC